ATATATATATATAGAGAGAGATAGATAGATAGATAGATAGATAGATATATGTCTAGAGAGAGATACTGAAGTTATCCTGCCCACATTTGACTTTAGTGTAGTACAAACTTCTTGTTTACAAGGTTTAATTTAATCAATTTATTATTATTATTCAAACTGACAGATTGTCACGCACGGTGAGCCTTTATTAAATATTTCATAAAATCTCCTTTATAGTTAAAAATAATTGGGGTGTCTGATTTTACAACTGTGGCCTGAAGTTTCCATCCACTCGTGACTGCCATATCCAAGATTGAAAGATTTAAGAACTTTCTAAAATAAGAACAGGGTGCACAGGTTTTGAATTTATTGTCTTTTCCTACAATAAAAAAAAGAAATGTTAAAAATGAATCATAAAAGGCTCAAATAATAGATGCCATGATGAGTAAAGCAGTGGTGTTTACAGAGCTACACAGCTAAGATTTGTCATTTAACCTTGCCGTCCTGTGTGATAACTTCACATTATAAAACCAGAGAACCTGTTTATTACGAGCTACAAAAACAAACATGATTTATTAAGATATTGTCGTTGAATCTGCACTTTAAACTTTACATGAAATGGTCGAGGTGCTTCCACATACATTCATACCGCACCTGTAAACTGTTTACAGGTAGAAAAACACAAAACATACGTCAATATGTTGACACTAACGAACAGACAGAAACAGAAAATTAGACCCTCGTAAAGCTACAGTACCTTTTGGTGAAGAGATCGACGGAACAGCGGCTGAACAAGCCGACGTGAAACGACAAATAGGAGGGATTGCACATGAAAACGAGACTAAAGCCCAAGTTTTACAGATTAAGGTCCAGTGTACGACCGTGTTCTGAAGCTGCGTGAGGGCACTCGGCCCGGTCGGTCTCTGACGTCCTGAACAGGCTCAGAGGTCCAGATCGTTTAAGGCATGCAGTCACATCATTTATCTTACAAAACGCTCTTCCTGCCTCAGAACAAACAAAAAACACAAAATGATGAAAAGTCAAAAACATGAAAAAAAAAAAACATTCAGTTGTGCTTAAAATTCTCAACGTCAGACAAAATGGTTTTAGAACAGAAGTTCTGGGTCCATAATCAACTTAAATAAAAGATCAAAATGTTCCAATTTCAGCAATGATTTGTTTTGTTTGTCCTTTTTGTGATGAAATAAAACTCCTTACGTGCAAAACGAAGCCCAACAAAACATTTATAAATAACTTCTTTAGATTTAGAGAAAATAACAGACACTTTAACGTAGATTCTGAAGGTTTTGGAAAGAACGTTAAACCAGAAACGAGTTCAGATTCGCTTCCTTACGCAGAATCAGCGCGCTCGCAGCGTGAAAAAGAGCCGTGCGTTCGGACTCATTTACAGCTACGAGAAAGGTAAGGCGACAGAAACGGCCCTTGGTCTCACCCGGAGACTCGGTTTGACGTTAATCCACCCGGCAGACCTGGTTTGGTGCTGAACGGAGTCTGGGCTCGGGTTAGAGGATCACCAGATTAAACTCCAGATTTAAAGTGAAGTACCAGCACCGACCACAAGAGGGCGCACATGCAGGAGAACTGAGGCTCGTCTGCAACTCCCTCAGATTAAAATCAACCAACAGACATAGATAATGCACCAGCATGTGAGCTATGGCCAATAAAAACAAAAAATATGCAGTAATGTGCAAAAAAACTTAAGTCGTCGCTACGTTCTTTGAATATAAAACATCTAAACAGTCAAATTTAGTCTTGAATCTTTGGGCGTTGTTCTCTTTATCCTGCAAGTTCTGCCATCTGCTGTTTACTTGAACTCTTTAAGACCTCTAATAATGTTTTGCTTTTCATTTTTAATAAAGTTTTTTTTTTTAATCAACAGCTCCTTAATGTCTTTTTTTTGGGGGGGGGATTTTGGTGTTTTTTCCTCTCAGTCTTAGTCCAATACCTGAACGTTTTCTTTGTTTCTCTTCGGTACCAGCAGCCCGTCACAAACACACAAAATGTTCTCGCTTCTTTTGTTGAATTTACCAAGAAATAAAACAAACGGCTTCGTCTGACGGGCAGAAAACAGGATTTTAGCTCCAAGAAGGCGATTCACAAAGACTTTTTAGCTTAAAACTTGTTCTGCCGTTCATAAACAGCTGAAGGGTTCAGAAGTTTTTTCAGGTTTAGTTTCAAAAACATGGTTTTCAGATTCTGCTCACCTGCTTGATTCTTTTTTTTTTAGTCCTCAAATCATCTTATGTTTTTATCAGGAACCCACCACGTCGCACTTTAATGTGATTTAATCTTTGGTGCTAAAATCCTATTTTAAATCTGTCAGACTGTTATTTTGGTATCCTGGTGCATGCTCAATAATCCAGGTAGAAAAATCTAAAAAAGTTAAGTCTGGTCCAGTTATTTTGGTAGTTTTTTTTTTATCTCTGCGACAAGCTGCAGGCAACAAAAAGCCTAAAAGACCCATTTTAATACCAAATCTGTGCAAATATTTAAACTTGAATGATTCACTGCTTGACACTGATTTAAATCTATAAAGTCAAACATTAAAAGTTTATCCTGAACCAAATTAAACGGAGCAGTTTGACAAAGTTTACTCCAGAAGTGTTTCCACATTTAACGTTACACAATTCTGAACTGTGGGTACGCACTCGACGTAAACAAAGCTCCTCTTCATCCCAAACAGCCTTTACATGGACTCGGCCATTGTTGATATATTTTCTTGCATTTCGGCTGTTTTTGTAGGTAAACAGGTAAACGGTAGCTGGCAGCCGTTTGTAAAAAGACATTACCGTAATTGCCGATCTATAAAGCACACCCAAATATAAAAATAAATAAATTTAAACATAATTTTGTAGCTAAATAAGCTGCGCTTGTGTATAAGCCGCAGGGTTTAAAGTAGCGGCTTAGACACCGGCAATTACAGTAATCGTCAACATGATGAAAAACGAGCAGATTTAAATTTTCTTTTGATCGTCCCTCAAGACTTTTCAGGAACAAATAAAAATTATTCCTCTGAAATGGGTCAGGCACTGGACTAATAATGAAAAGCAGAAAAAACACTCAACGTCTGAAGAACTGCTGATCGAAACCATTCAGCAGAACCCAAGAAGGTCCGATTGTTGGGGAGCGCAGCAGAAAACAGCGGCTCAGGACTTGTGCACAGAACCGTCCACCGGATCAGGGTTTGTTTTAAACTCCAGCGTCAGATCGGTAGTTTGTGCGTCGTCCTGCTGGGTCGCGTGGCTCCACCGTGGCGGAGGAACCGACAGCTGCGGCGCCGTGTGCAGCCCGGTGTCGGGTCTACAGGTAAGAAACGATGCCGACGGGCCCGACTGACGGGTCCGGTCAGAATCACCCAGAGGCTGCAGTTGTTCTGACGCCATCGCAGATATTCCTCAGAGTCCGGCCTCTGAAACGTCTTGGACGCCAGGTGACGACCCAAACTAGTCCGAGGCACAGTGAAGTTCTGCTCACCGGTTCCGTCCGGCCCAGAGGTGAAACCAGAGCTCTTACAAGAAGAAATGATCCTTTTCCTTTCCGCACGTCTCTGCATGGGTGTCGCAGGTAAAAGTGGGCGGAGCCACCCGTCTTTACTGTCTGCTGTCAAAGCTGCTGCAGCTTTCCTCGTAGGTGGGAGGCGGCTCTGCAAGACACAGGAAGTAAGAAACAGCTGAAGGAACGTTTTAGGGTCAGAATAAGTTTTTCTGGTTTTTACATTTCCTTTAAGCTTTTTACGATCCAACTCCTCCTCCTGCTTACTTTGTGCTATTTTAGCCATTTATACATCAAAACATTCAGCTCGTTCAGGAAGTGGCGGCTGTGACCTTTTGATTCACTTCATTTACAAAAAGTTTTCCCACAGAAACAACAAGATCCCTTCAGTTTATTCAAAAACAGTTTTCTTTTTTAAAAACGGTCGAGCTGCATGTGAGGCTCTACATGTCTTCTTTTGCTGCTTTTAGCTTTTAGCTAGGTTTTTAATAATTTTAGCTTTTAACTAACCTTTTGCAGCTCTTAGCTTTTAATGACATTTATGCTACTTTTAGCTAGCCTTTCAATGTCTTTAACTAGCCTTTAGCAACTTTTAGCTTTTAGTAGGTCTTTTGCTACTTTTAGCTTTAAATGAGCCTTTTGGTACTTTCAGATAACTTTTAATACTCTGAGCTAGCCTTTTGTAACTTCACAACCTTTAGCTTTTACTGAGAATTATGTTGCTTTTAGCTAGTCATTTATTACTTCCAGCTACTTTTAGCTAGCCTTTTGCTACTTTTAGCTAGCCTTTCAATACCTTCAAATATCTTTTTGCAACTTTGGTTTAAAAACACTTCTGCTGCCTTTAACTAACCTTGTGGTACATTTAGCTTTTAGCTAGTGTTTAGCTCCTTTGATGTCCTCAGGATTCCCTTAATAAGAGTAAAATCAAGCCTGCATGAAAATATGTTGTTAACGTTCGGCTGTTTGAGCTCTGTACCTTGAGGGTAGTCGCAGCTGCTGTACTCTGGAGGCAGAATGAGGGAACAGGAAGTGGGGATCGGAGTCACGTTTCCCTCCATGAAGAACGGGATGGTTGCTCCTGTGGACAAGCAGAACAGCGGGGCGGACGCATCGGGTCTCCTCTGGCCCGGCGCGTGGCTGAAGGCGCTGGGGGACATGGTGACCGGCGGCACCGAGGGGTCCTGCTGAGAGTGACTCTTGGTGGGTAGCTCTTCGTTGGCGAAGCCTCCTGCGCCGAGCTCGTCCTCCGGGTCCACCTCCACCGGCGGGGCGCTCGGCGTCACCCCCGGAAGACCGGGTGGCAGAGTCGGGTCTGGACCGGGGGGGACGGGCATCGAGGGAGACAGGTTCACCGGGATGTTTCCGATGAAGATGGGCAGCGTGACGACTGTCTCAGGAGATTTTAGCGACACCTGAACCCGACAAACGACAAGAACGATTTAAAACGTTCACTTCCTGTTTGTTTGTCACCAACAGACAAACTCACGCCGACCTGAATGAAATATTCGATGTCTATGAGGCTGCAGCCGGCGAGGGCCGACTGAGGAAGAGGAGGGACGATGATCTGCTCCCTCCACTCCGCGTGCTTCCCGGCCTTCACTCCCGCTCCCTCCACCTCCGCGATGGTCCGCAGGTCGAAGACCGGCCGCTTGGTCCTATAGGTCACTTTCTGCAGACGACCAGAAATAAGAAACGAGTCGGTCACATTTTCAAACAAAGATAATCTGAGGAAACAGAAGATTTTAAATCAGCTCATTTGATAAAACAACAACTCAGAACTGTGGAAAAGTGTGTTTCCTTTAAACCTGAAAGGTTTGGAGGAAGCGTTTGTGCTGGGCTTCAGACCGCCGCCCTGCTGCAGAGCCCAGGAGAGGCTGATGCTCGGACGTTCTCCAGCAGGATTTTCTGGTAGAGCAGAATTCACGGTTTTGTCTGTTACGACGAGTCGTCCAGGTCCTGAAGCAGCATCACACTCCCACCACCGTGTTTGACTGTTAGTACGATGTCAGTTTAAATGTAACAAGACGCACCCGTTCTAAAAGGTTTCACTTTTATCTCGTTGTTTCATCTTAAAACTCTCCCATCGAGGACATTTTTGTCTGATTTATTTTTATTTTTATCACAACTCTGACCTTCACTGAGACGAGCGAGGCCCACAGGGTCTTAGATGTTGTTCTGGGTTCTTTGGGACCTCCTGGAAGAGTCGTCGATACGCTCCCAATGTGATTTTGTTGGGAAGGTCCACCACTGTTCCAGGTTTTCTCCATTTGTGGATGTTGGTTTTATTTAAAGTGTTTCTTGACCCTGCAGGTCTGGCAGTTATCAGGCCTGGGTGTGGCTGGTGAAACTAAACTCAGCCCAAAAAAACATTAAGTTGAGGCTAAGGACCATTTCTACAGTTGTGCCTCTGAGAGTGGCCGAGTCTCATTTCGAACGACAATAAAAAATAAAAACAAAGAAAGAGAAAAAAATAATAACAGTCATGACAATTGACACGCAATTTTACACAATTTGTTCAAAAAGGAGCAGGTAGAAGACAATCTTATGATTTCCTGCCCCGTCATACACATCAATATACAATCATTTTAGTCTCCCCACACCAAATAACCCTTAGAATACTCGCACATTACATGATGCTTAAACCTCACGTTCTCATCGTTGAATGTACAATTACTTACACATTATTAATATCAGCAATAGCATTTTTGGTTTTTGAAACTCCCATCCTATACAACATATTTTTCAATAAGCTCATTTTTATACTGTTTTATAAACTGGCTTATATTTGTACTTTGTTTGAGCTCGTCATTTAAATCATTCCATAGATCTACTCCACACTAAGTAAGTTCACCGCCGTCTCCTTTGTCTTTCCCACATAAAGATGAAGGCTGTAATGCCACGCCAGTCTACAAGGTCTTCTACCTCCCTCCTGTATGATGACTCTGTCGTGGGATATCGATCCCACCACAACTGTCATCTGCAAATTTCACTACCGTTGTTTGGTTAGCTGAGCAATAGTATGCAAACAGAGTGTAGTGAGTGAGGACCAAGGACACACCCCTGAGGATCGCCAGTGTTGAGAGTGGTGGGGGAACATGTGATGCTGTAAATCCTTACACTTGTGATTTAACATTTTCTTTTCTATATAGTTCTAGGTAGGCTTTTCCCCCTTAATAAATGAGATAATTTAAAAACTGCATTTTCTATTTACTCGTGTTATCTTATCTCTTAACAGTTTTGATTATTTGAAATGTTAAAGTGTTCATTTAAGTGTGCTCTGTGAATGTTTAATGTTTAATGTTCTGGTCTAATATTTAACACACTTAAGAATTTAAAGTCGAGCCCAGTGTGTCCTTCTGAGAGAAAATGTTCATTACTAACATCACACAGAGACTAACTGACCTGTACGAGACTGGCCAGGACGTAGCCCGTGTCTTTGCCGGACTTGTTGTGGATCTCGGTGGCTAACTTGATGACCTGACTCGGAACGTAACCCTTCATGTCACTGCAGGTTTTCAGCATCAGGGTTCCCGTCTTCACCAGGAGGTAGGTGAACTTCTTAGTGGTCACTGCAAAACTCGGATTCTGCAAAGTTACAGATGAGATGTTTGTCGGCGTGCACTGGAGGACAGTTTGGGTTCCTGTCGGTTCCACATCAGGTAATTAAACAAATATAAACTTACTTCGATGTCCGGAACCTCGTTGAGGTTGAGCATGTTGAGGATGTAGAAGAGCCTCTGGGATTTGTAGTCCTTGGAGAAGCGAGGCGTGTCGATGGCCGACTTCACGCGGTAAATAATCTTCCCAAAAGGTCCCTCGAAAGACGTGGGGACAGCGACTGGAGGACACGTTTGGACACGAACAAACAAATGAGACTTTATAAAAAACACGTAAAATATGTCTCATATGTCAGACACTACAGACCAGGCTTATGTGCATTTGTGACTATATTTTAATTTTAGCAAGTTTTATTAACTGTTTTACATGTTTTGTGCTTCAAACTTTATTTAATTTTAATCAACACGGTTATTTTAGTTTTTGGACCTGAGCACCTTAGGAATCGATGTTTCAGTCTTTCTCCCTCCTTAGATGCATTAATCTGTCCTCCAGCTCTAATGTTAAAAATCTTGGTGTTATCTTTGATCAGGACATGTCTTTTATCCCCCACATTAAAAACGTTACTAGAACCTCCTTCTTCCACCTGCGTAATATCACTAACATTAGAAACATCTGATCTAAAGATGATGCAGAAAAACTGCTCCATGCATTTGTCACGTCTAGACTGGACTATTGCAATGGTTTATTATCTGGGTGTCCAAATACTTCTTTAAAGTCTTCAGTTGATCTAAAATGCTGCTGCCAGAGTCTTAACTGGAGTTACTGGGAGAGATCATATCTCTCCAGTTTGAGCTTCTCTCCATTGGCTCCCTGTCAAATCCAAAATAGAATTCAAAATCTTACTTTTAACCTACAAAGCTCTCAACACCCTAGCTCCATCCTATATTACAGATCTTATTGTTTCATATTTTACTAACAGAGCACTTCTCTCTCAGACTGCAGGTTTACTTGTGGTTCCTAGAGTTTCCAAATCAGAGTGGGAGGCAGATCTTTCAGTTCTCAGGCTCCTCTCTTGTGGAACCAACTTCCAGTTTCTGTCCGTGAAGCTGACACATTGTCCAGTTTAAGACTTTCCTTTTTGATAAATCCTATAGTTAGTGTTGGCTTGTTATGCTGCTATAGGCTTACACTACTGGAGGACAAATTGACCTGAATTGTTAAAATTGAATTTTTATTTGATACTATTTCTATCTTAACATGTGATTCTTGACCTGCCATTGTGTATCTGTTCCTCTCAAACCCAGCCGGTCGAAGCAGATGGTCCTCTTGTCCTGAGTCTGCTAAAGGTTTCTTCCTCATCAGGGAGTTTTTTCTTTCCACTGTCGCCTTCATGCTCAAGAAGAGAGTTCTGTGATGGAGTTAAACTCAAAGCTGCTCCTCAGATAAATAAAGTTAAATTATTATTTTATATATGAATGATTCTGTTAAATTATTATTTTATAATATATGAATGTTTCTGTTAAATTATTATTTTATATATGAATGATTCTGTTAAATTATTATTTTATATATGAATGTTTCTGTTAAATTATTATTTTATAATATATGAATGTTTCTGTTAAATTATTATTTTATATATGAATGATTCTGTTGAATTATTATTTTATATATGAATGATTCTGTTAAATTATTATTTTATATATGAATGTTTCTGTTAAATTATTATTTTATATATGAATGTTTCTGTTAAATTATTATTTTATATATGAATGTTTCTGTTAAATTATTATTTTATAATATATGAATGTTTCTGTTAAATTATTATTTTATAATATATGAATGTTTCTGTTCAGTCCCTGAGACGACTTCTGTTGTGACTTGGTGCTTTATAAATAAACTGAACTGAATTATTTGACATAAATGTATTTATTATAGCAATTTATTTATAATTTGTACTCACTTTTTTTGTATTTATTGTTTTTAGTAAATTTCTTATATATATATTTCTAATATTATATTCTTTTTTTTAATCTCTTTGAAACTTTTCGTTCTCATTTCAAATATTTATCACTTCCATATATGTTGACTAAAGTATATGCTTTTAAATTTTATTTCGGTGTTAAAGTTTTTTATTTGGTTCTTGAGGACATAAAGTTCTGTTTCTTTCACTAATGCTAATTATAATATGATCATTAATGATTGTTTTTTCAACCAATGTTGTAACTGATTTTATTTGTAGTGGTGGATGGTTTCCATCTTTTTATAACTCGTTACTCTTCGCTGTATAAAAAGTGACCGACGAACAAAGTGTGAATGACTGAGATGTGTTCACCACTGATCAAAGATCAGTTTTCAATGTGAAAACAAACTCCTCAAGCTAACACGGTATCAAGTTTCAGTGGTTTAGAGGCTAAAGAAAAGAAGCTTTGTGTTTTGGTCAAATGTAAACTGAAGTTAAATAAAAACAGAAAAAGAGCAAAAGTCAAAGGTAAAATAAAGATGGACTCGTTTTATTTGGTCCGAGTCAAAATTTTAGTCAATTTATTCACTTTTGAACAGAAAAAGTTTGCAAAACAAACGAAGTGAGATGAAAACGATCCGTGCGGGACATGAAGGAGGCCGACCGTCTGAACCCCACACGTTTTGTCCTGAATGTGAAGAGGACGGCGTTTGTGCGCCTCGGGGGGAGGACGAAGGGGTGAGAAGGACAAAGAGGGGCGGAAATTTAAGAAGCGACAGATAAAAATAGCTACTCAGAGAGAAACAAGCGAAACAAATAACAAGTGGAGAGAAAAAACAACAGTTTGTTAAAAACTGCTTCTAAGAATGTCGTTCTGTCGTCTGAACAAACCGACAGTAAAAAGATTAGAGTTTAATAAAGTTTATTAGGAAGGAGGTGATTTGTTGCTTATGGGTCGTTGATTATGATTATTATGAGTCAACGCTGACAACCTGGAAATGTGGGCCGGTGCGCCAAAGATCGACTGGCTGCCAAATGGCGGCTGCGCGAGCGTGCACGGGAGAACTTTAACAAGATTAACACTTAAAAACAATTATACTGAGGGGAAAATAAGTCTTTGAACACCCTGCGACTTTGCAAGTTCTCCCACGTAGAAATCATGGAGGGGTCTGAAATGTTCATCTTAGGTGCATGTGCACTGTGAGAGACATGCACCGTGCACTGCTGCTTCCTTAGATACACAACTTTTACTAACTGGATTTTTAGTGTATGTGAACGTTTCTGTTCGGTGCCCGAGACGACTTCTGCCGTGACTTGGTGCTGTAGAAATAAACTGAACTGAAAGTCAGCGCAGCTCCAACGTTTAAACATTAACCCCGAGCTGTTCCTCCACACCTAGCTGGTGTTCCACACGAGTGACTAATTCCTACTGGAGATAACGGTGACTGCGGAGAGAGCGAGCAGAGGTTATCGCCTGCGTGCTTTTGTCTCCGACGTCAGCTTTGAGAAAACAGGTCTGTGGGAAAAACGGCTACACGTCGGCCCGGGGTCGGAGGGTTTCACTCACCTGGAAGGAGGAACTGGAACGGGAAACTGTGCTCGCCCGGCGGAAGAATTCCTGGAAGAAACCAAAGCCCGTCAGCTGCAGAGACGGCCGACACTGAAAACTAAACGGTCCTGTCGAGTTCGTTAACAAGTACATGTAACAACAGATGTGAGGCCCAAACATCAACAAATCACCAAAATGTTGTGAAGAAAAGCAGAACGCCCGTTCATATTGAGCATTACCTTACATCAAGAGTTAAATGAGATCATGTGACGCTGACGATGAACTGATTTGTGGCTGTTCTGATCAAAGCTCCTGTGTGATCTCATGGGGAATGATCTTATGGCTCATCTTTGCCGATACACATTTTCCTGGATCAAAATTGTTCCTAAACAAAAACACATTTTAGCTAGCAAGTGGGGGATTTAATTGCAGTAAAGGTCATCAGGTCACGTGATCTTCAAGGTCATAGAAAAAGTCAAAAGCCCAGTGGATCTGAATGTACTCAGGAAAGTAAGGTCAGATTTGGGATCTGCATCAAATTCCCTTTCCAGTGACACCAGGTTTGTAAAAATGGACCCAGCAGTTCCGGAGAGAACGATCGTTGAAGCGGCCACGCCCACTTCAGACACAAAGCTCAACGTTAGGGGGCTGCTGGTCCGACTGACCTGAGATTTGAGACGCAGTGGGATCACAGACAAATGTGCCAAGATTCATTATAATCCGAGATGATCGGGTCCATATGTTCTTTTTTTAGGGGGTGATTTTCCTGAATGAATGATGCTCAGCTACTAACAGAACTAATTCTGTTCGTCTCTAATCTCTAAAACTGACTGAATTAAAGCCTTTTTTTTGTGTTGGCTAATGTTGATTAGCTGTGGCGTCCATCTTGAATTACGTTGACTCAAAAGTTAATCAGGTACAGGTGAACTGAATACAATGATTACTTTCATAAACATCTTCTTTCGGCTGTTCCCTCTTCAGCGGTCGTCACAGTGACTCACCCTCCTTCAACTCGCTTGGACAAATCTGCACGTCTGTTTTGGCTGAAGCATTTTAGCCGGATGGGCCTCCTGACATAACCCTCACTGTTGACCCTGGTTTGGAGCCAGAACAGAAGACACTGGTTTGTGCTCCATAGTGGATGGTTTAGGGCTTCATCAGTGGTTTATGAGGTATTTCGCTAACAGACAGACAAGACATGCCACGCTGCATGACAAAGATATCCGTTCGCTCTACAGTGGTCCTCCGTCTTGGTCCTCGAGGGTCACTGTCCTGCACATTTTAGATGTTTCTCTGCTTTGGCACTCCTGATGTCAAGTCAAGTCAGATTTATTTATAGAGCACATTTAAAACAGAAACCGTTACCAAAGTGAGGTCATCTGGACAGTTTCTTGTTTTGTGCTGAAACGTTTCGCCTTCGATCCGGAAGTCTTCATCCCCTTGAAAAACTGCCCAGATGACCTGACTGAAAAATGTTGGATTGTACATCTGAATTATTGAGCATGGACTTTGTTGTTACCAAAGTGCTTAACAAAAATATCACATCATCAAATAAAAAGTAACAAGATATATTTATAGCACGTGGAATAAAAATATAAATCAGAAAACATAATTAGAAACAATGAAATACTAAATCAGATCTGATGACCTTGTGTTAAATAGGAATAATAACAAAAGCATGAACAGAATCAGCATCAATGAAAAACTAGATCTAAATCCGATCCGATGTGTTAAATGTCAGTGAATACAGGTGTGTTTTTAGGAGAGTTTTAAAAATAGAGACTGAGGTGGCCTGTCGAATGTTGATGTGCAGATTGTTCCAAAGTTTAGGGCCCACGACTGAAAACGCTCGATCTCCTCTGAGCTTCAGATGGTTTTTGGTACGGCCAAAAGCAGCTGGTCTGATGATCTCAAAGCCCGAGAAGGAGTATAAGGATGAAGAAGGTCAGAGAGATATGATGGTGCAAGGCCGTTAATGCACTTAAATGTCAGCAGGAGAATTTTAAAATCAACTCTGACACGTACATGAAGCCAGTGAAGGGAGGACAGAACCGGAGTAATGTGCTCAAACCTGCGAGTTCCTGTTAGTAGCCGAGCTGCAGCATTTTGTACGAGCTGGAGACGTGAAAGTGAAGCCTGACTAACCCCAACATAAAGTGAGTTACAGTAGTCCAGCCGGGTTGTAATAAATGCATGGACTAGTTTTTCAAGGTCGGATCTGGACAGAACAGACTTAAGCTTTGCTATTTGCCTCAGCTGAAAGAAGCATTTTTGTAGAACAGAGTTGATCTGTTTATTAAACTTAAAGTCCGAGTCTAACACTACCCTGAGATTGGTAACCGACTGCTTTAGATGTGGCTGAAGGGAGTGCAGGTTTACAGGATCAGTGACAGTGGTAGAGCTTGGGTTAAACACAATGACCTCAGTCTTCTGATCATTAAAACTCAAAAAGTTCGCAGCCATCCAAGTCTTGATGTCATCAAGACATTTTAGCAAAGGGTGGATGGAGCAGGAACTGTTTGGTTTTAAAGGCAGATAAATCTGAGAGTCATTGGCGTAACAATGAAACGAAATACCATGTTTCCTCAGGATGGACCCCAAGGGGAGCAGATACAATGAGAACAGAAGGGGTCCAAGAATGGAGCCTTGCGGGACCCCACAGGAAAGAGGGACAGAAGCAGATAAATGATTGCCAAAGTTAACACAAAAACTCCTGTCACTCAGATACGAACGGAACCATTCTAGCGCCACCCCTGTAATCCCAACCCAGTGTTCTAGCCGTGACATAAGGATGCTGTGATCAACAGTGTCAAATGCAGCGGTAAGGTCGAGGAGTACCAGGATCACAGACTCACCAGAGTCATTCGCTAGCAGAACGTCATTACAGGCCCTTACTAAAGCTGTCTCGGTGCTGTGCAGGTGTTTAAATCCTGACTGAAAAATCTCAAAAATTCAGTTTACATTCAACAACTTGGTTAGTTGACTTAAAACTATTTTCTCCAAGATTTTAGAAAGAAATTGAAGTTTTGAGATTGGCCTGAAGTTTGAACGAGCTGCAGGGTCAAGTCCGGGTTTTTTAATTAATGGAGTTACCACTGCATGTTTTAAAACATCGGGGACCACACCTGTAGCCAAACTGCTGTTAATAATGATGATGTGAAAAACTGAGGCCTCTGCAGAACTTTAAGACCAACTGAAGAGCAGGGAAATGACTAAAACATGATGGACGGTGGCCCTTGAGGACCACTGCACTAGCAACATTCAAAGGGAGGCTTGCCCCTCCATAAAGGCCATGGCATGTAATAAATTATTAATGTCTGTACGTGTTTGCGTGTTGGGGAGATGCTTAATTTCCCACCCATCTGCTGCATCAAACCTCTGATTTAGCCAAGGTGTTCAGAGTTTTGACAGTAGGTTGGGTGACCGCTGGGTCGTGGTTAGTCCAACTACCGATGAATGTACACATGTGAGGGGGGCTAACCAAACTCTGTATAACTGGAGATCAGCTGTTTGTAAAGTCACTAATTATTTTGGTTTTAAAACAAGAAGTTACTCAAAACTGATTCAAAACATATATTTCAATACTCATTTTCACATTTTGTTTCTATATTAATTAATGAGTGTCGGCAGACATCAAATTACAAGCCGAAGCACGAGGTTCCAATAATAAATACGTTTCTGTCACTCTGAGCACCTCGAGCCAACAAGCTGATTAATTCTCTGAAGGAGCCGACGGCCCAATTAAATCCTTCCAGACAGCGACGCGTCTCGCCTCATTAGACAACGGGCACAACTTTTTCCATTAGTCTGACTTTCTGAGGACGGCCGAGGAGAAGGTGGCCACACTTTGTCTTTGTGTTCGTTTGCAGAGACAGGAAGCAGTCGTGCTTTCTGAACTAACTCAGGCAGACAGAAAAACCTGTTTATCATCACAACTGAGGACATGTGCAGATAAACCTGTGTCAATATTTGACACCTAAAGACTTTCTCAGTTCCTTGTAACATTTATTAGTTCGTAGCCTTTGAAAGGGAAGCAGCAGAAAGCAGCGTGATCGTCAGCTGCTGGTGTTCGAGCTGAAATCACACAAGAATCCTTCACGTGTGCGCCTGATAAAACATGGCCTTTAGTGAAATGTTTGTGCCTAGTCTCATTTATACTCGAGCCTGTTGTTTACACAAACAATGTTTACTAAATGTTAGTTTTAGTATCAGAGTGGTGATAAGAGGTTAACCGATGTGTGATTTTAATGGTCTTTGCTCTCTAAAAATCGTTACATTTTAATTTAACAATACTGCTAAATATAAATAAATATTGAACAACTCTTGAAATAATTTGTACACTTAAAACTAAATTATAAGTTACAGAATGAGGCTGCTGCATCCTCATTCTCCTACATGATAATAGACCTGTCGCGATAAACAATAAATCAATCGCATGATAAATGAAAACTATCGACCTCATTTTCATTTATCGGCTTTATCGTTTCTTCGTGTGTCTCTCTCTTTCTACTGAAGACACTGGATGAAAAAAGGTTCAACTCCGGTTCTTCACTGACCCCTTCCTTTCTCTTTAAAATCCGTTTTAACCGTACAAAATTGCGTTTTGGATCGTTAAAAGCAGCTAAGCTGAAAAGCTAAGCTACGAGCTAAGCTAACAGGCCGACCTCGAGGAATAAACTTTCGTCTTGTCGAAGCTCCAAAATTCACGCTTGAAACCCGTGCCTTCGTGTAAAAAGTTGTTTTTCTCTGCAAAAAGAAGCTGAGAACTTGTTTACTGATTTTTTTATTAAAAGCTTTGTGTGACAAATGCTAAAGAGCTCAAACCACACCGAGCGGCCGCCATTTTGAGAACTGAAGAGAGACAGCCCATGTCACGTCAAGGGGCCTCCCTCCCATTTTTCTTAAAGAGACACACTGCTCGCTCCCTCACTATCCATCATTCTGTTCAAACGGTCTTATAATGCCATCCAGTGGTCAAAAAATGTACTACACACAAAAATTAACCAACATTTCTTCTTAAATTTGACAATAATTACTAATTATTGTCAAATTTCAAACAATATTATCGCAATAATTTCTGAGACAATTAATCGCCAACTTGATAACTGATTTAGTGACAGCCAATTTGCTAAGTGACCAACGTTGGCCAAATAAATCAAGACAGCCAATCCGTCATTCTTTATCTACTAATAAATACACATGTTGTTTGTATTTTGTACAGTTAATCAGAAACTCCTTGAATTCTGGGAAATTATCTGATTAAAGTAAAGAGCTCAAAAATCCCAACAAACATGGTTGTATAAAATGTTTACATGTGCAGTTCCAGAAGCATTAAAACAACCAAAGTGACAGAATTGGACATCTGAAAACAGGTAATACAGACGTTTTTAATTCTGAACTCGTTTTTCTGATTTTAAATTAGCATTGCTGTAAATGAATGAGTGAAATTAGGAATATCACAACGGTACCGACGTAAAAACGCTACATTTTCCCCCATTAGAACCTAAATTCAACTGACTGCAGGGGAGTAAGAGTTCCTGGTGATCATTAAGTGAGAACAGTGACAGGATGAAGAACCGACGGCGACATCTCTGGTTCTCACTCCCCCAACCGTCAAGCATTTGTGGCATACCACATTATCAGTCACCCACAGCGAGCGTCACTTACTTTGTGTGTGTGTGCTGATTTTCTGTCACCCTTCCTATTTCAGTCTTCCAAGGCTGCCCAGCCCTCAGGGGCCAAACAAACCATTTTCAGAAGAGAAAGAGATAAAGAGGAGCGCAGACTGAGGATGTGCTGTAAATCACCATCTCTGTGTGTCTGGCAGTTTTACACAATGCTATGTGGATGTGAATTAAATGCTACTGTTTTAAGAAGCAAAACAAATGCAATTACTGCCTTTAAAAATGGTCTTATTGTTTTATCTTGAAGTCAACGATAACTGAAAGCCAAAATACACTTCTAGCTATGTGGTGGCATGTTGAGGCAGAGCTAGGGGATTTTTTTTCTGTGAAGCAGACAATCTGAATGATTCCCGTTTGTAGAATGGGGAGGATGTTCTCATGGGGGAGTTGAACAAACAGCTACGCAACATAAGGCTAATGCAGCGTAAGACACACAGTTACTCAACGTGAAGCCAACACCAACAATGAGTAAGGCTAACACAGAATTAGAGTGACGCTAACACCATCACAGAGTTAAGCTAGGTTATTCAAACAAAAACTAACAGCTACTTTGAGTGAAGCTAACACCAAGAAAGAATCCACCAACAGAGAGTTATGCTAACAGCAACAGTAATATCAAGCTAACACCAAAAAGAGTTAGCTTAATGTTAATAGCTACTCAGAATGAAGCTATCACAAGTGATGCTATAATTATCTTAAGAGTTAAGAGCGACCCAGAGTGAAGCAAACGCCAGTGAAGCTAGCGTTAGCTAGCAGTTAAAAGCTACTCAGATTAAAGCTGACACCAATGACGCTAAAGTTAGCTAACAATTAACAGCTACTCTGAATAAAACTAACGCCAGTGAAGCTAGAGTTAGCTTAGAGTTAGGAACTATTTAGAGTAAAGCTAACATCAGCAAAGCTAAAGTAAGCTAGCAGTTAACAGCTACTTGGAATGCAGCTAACACCAGTGATGGTAGAATTAGCTTAAGAGTTAAAAGCTACTCACACCTGCAAAGCTAAAGTTAGCTCAAGAGTTAACAGCTACTCAGAATGAAGCTAACACCTGCAAAGCTAAAGTTAGCTCAAGAGCTAACACCTGCAATGCTAAAGTTAGCTCAAGAGTTAACAGCTACTCAGAGTGACGCCAACAGTGATACAGAGTAAAGCTAACAACTACCTCAAGAGAAACTAACAGCAACTTAAAAGTGAAGCTAAGAGCTGCTCAATGTAAACTATTACTCAGAGTGAAGCTAACAGAGTCAAGCTAACGGCTAACAAGCGCAGGACTCCTTCAAAAACAAAAAATAATCCAAAGCAACTCAAGCTCTAAACTTTGAGCAGCGGACACAGTCTTGCAATCTTTTTATTTCATTAGAGGTTTGTTTATATTTGTGCTGTTGCTGTTAGTTTTGATGTCTGTGAAAATTTTTCCCGGATTTCCAGTAAGTGATTTTATTCAAACTGCTTATAAGACAATTACTAAGATACCCCCACACACAACCACACTTACAAAATAAAAAATAAACCTATGAGCTCACGGCTTCTTCTGATTGCACATTTAATATTCACAATTGATTATGGAGCTTTTAATAAGCAGGATCCAGAGTTAGAAATGACTGTTGGTTATGACTAATCTAATCTATAATTAATTAGAAACGAAGATGTTACAATGAGGAAAAATGGTATTACTGTTCAAAATGCTCGATTGGAACGCTTCAACCGTTTATATTTTAACACTAATCCCTTCACATATGTGTTAAAATAAAGGTTGTTAGCAAACTGAATGTTGGAAAAACACCTGGTTGAACAGTTTTGTAGCGCGACTCGTACCTTTGTCAGCTACTGACAGCGTGCTGTTGAAGTACTGCTCCTCCACACTCCACGAGGAGTCGTTCACTTTGCTCGAGATCCCACATGAGCCCTGGCAGTTCACCTTGATGGCTGTGGGGGAAACAGAAAGTACAATTTGTTTGTTTGCTGAGAAACAACCGGCGCCGATATTCAAGCTCGCTTCTGCAACGTGACCAATATTTAGAACGTCTTTTTCTATATTAACAAATAAAGCTGTTGAACTATAAACAAGTCGCAGAGCAGTCGTAAAATGTCCGATTCCATTTATAATTCTACATAAATGTGACTTTTACTGATTTCTTTATGGGCTGAGACTTTAATATGATTGTTCTTGATTTGTATTCAGGCCGCCATCTTGGCCAGGACTCCCTGGAAGAAGAGAGTTTTTTTTAATGGGACCTTTCTGGTAAAACAAGCTGATGTCCTCCATCGCTGAGCGAGTTGAATCTTGAATGTTTATAGTTTTTGAATGGGGGTAGTTTTTTTTCTAGTTCGAGGCAGCGTAGTGACAGATCCTGGCGAGTGGAGGGAAACATTTTATCCAACACCTGGTACAATGGCCCCAATCATTTGAGGAAAATAATACTTTTAAACAATATAAAAACTAGAAATGTACGGTCGTGGATTTTGACTTGGCAACAAAGATTTTTGATAGTGACTTTTACGAAGCCTAGATGCAAAACAGAAGTTGGCATTGCTTATTTTTCACGATATTCAACTCATAATTTTAATAATATGCATATATGTTGGCAGCCATCTTGCATTTGGACATGAAACCTTACAGCCACACGCCAAAATGGAAGTTTCTCAAACCCCTTTTACAATAAAGGATAAATAAACAAAATAAATTTAAACCTAAATGTGTCAAACTGAGACAATAAACTGCAGCTGTCCACAAAAGACTTCAAGTCAATGGTTAATTGATGGTTAAAGCACATCTCCCTCACTACTAATTTACAAATAATGCAAGAAATATTGATAAATAAGAACAACTTGTTTTTAAATGTAATTTCCATAAATGTCAGAATTGGTTGCTTCCTCTATTTGCACGTTAAAATAAATTTTAATAGGGAAAACAGTCGGTTGGGAAACTACAACATGAATAGTCAGGACTTTACACGTTGAATATTGTAAAAATGATTTTAAAAGTAAAGCACGAGAAGATAAATCATCGCTCCTTCTGTGGTTTGACCACGTGCACCGAGCGGCAGGAGCGATCGGAGGAAGTTTCCGTTTTACTGAGTCAACTGATGGGAAGAGTGAGTTTAACTGTTGATGGATTTACTGCAGGACAGAAAAATGCATTTGATTGTTAAATTTTAAAAAAGACAACATCAAGAGTCGACACAAACGTCTTGATCAGATTATTAGCGCTGACGTCAACAGAAAAAGTTCACCGGAGCGTCAAAACCCGCCTGCAGAGCCGGTTCCTTCTTGCGTGTCGGACTTTTGCCCTCGTTGTCTCGAGCTAAATCCGTCTCGGAGGGACAGATAAGAAAACAAACCCAGACAGAGAAGAACGAGACAAAAGCTGCGAGATCAAGCAGAAAGATGGTGCAGACTCTTACGTCTTTTAAAAGAGCATTTTTGGAGTCAGCTTGATTCAAGATGGCCGCCACAGCAAAGCACAATTACTAAAAACAACAATGACTTTACCTAAGCCATATTTACAGATAACAGAGCTAAAACTGTGGTGTGGTAGTAGCTGAGCATTGTCCCCAACACATACTTCGAATGCCATAAATCGTGTGCCATTGACTGTTGGAGCCAACTTAATTTGTCTGTTAGCAAAATATTGTATGAACGCCTGAACTGATTAACTTTTGGAGTTAAGCCAATTCAAGATGGCCGCCGCCACGGTTCATCTTTAGCCAACACATTAATGGCCATAACCCAGCCGAACTTACAGCTACCGAGCTAAAATCTGATGAGGAAGTAGCTGAGGGTCGTTCACAACATATACTCCGAGAGCAACGTCTTGCAGACATCGCATGAGAAATGTAAACGAGGTTACTCCGTCAAAAAACGATTTTAGACTGAATCTCTGGCAATATACATGCGCTCCTCGCCTGCAGCCTTTCATTTAATCAGCGCTAATATCAGGCGGAGTCCTTCGGCCACGCAGGCGAACATCGATTCATCCGGACGTTAATTACATTCTGCAGCTGATCGAGAGAAACACCAGGAAGTTTTCACTCTTCGTTAACACACGGTTCCCAGAAGCAACGCAGGAAGTGCTTTTAGAAGACACAGGAAGAGCCACGGCTGCATTAAGTGGAATAGTGAGGAGCTGAGCTCGGCCCATAAACATCAGTCCAGACGTGATCTGTTCATATCCTCTGCTGCTGCAGCTGAACGTGAATATTTCGCTGCACGAGGGACGCTCGCTTCCTGCAGCTGCGTCATGGACGGGCGGAGCGAACCGGACCAGGAGCTCATCTGATACGTTAAAGAGACGCTTGAACACCACTCGCAACCATGAAAATGGCTAAATCCTAAAGGAAGGCAAAAATCTTAACAGTTTCATGAAACCACAGTTCAGTAAGCATGCCATGAGCAAACAATATCTTACCTGTTGTAGATAACTCTTTGAACAACCTCAGTTTGAAGAAATCAATTTTAACTCTGATTAGATTGGTGAGATATAAATACCTCGTCCGTTTAGTCGGAAATAAAATATTTCTGCAATCCGAGGTCGTTCAAAGACATTTCTACAACAGGTAAGATATTAACTGTTCCTAAACTTTCCATAAAATCACAGTTCTGGGAATGTAACGTTTCACTTTAAAGACTTTAACTGGACTACACAATAAATAAATAAAAAATCATCTGTTGTACTCCGTCAATACATTTAAACTAAATTAAACCAAAAGGCATAAGCTGAGAGAGCCTTATGGTCTCATCTTGATGGTGAGCATACATGTGTGTTAATGCGACAACAGAGCGTTAAGTCATCAGCAATGACCTTAGAGAGGCAGCTGTTCCTGTCCATCTATCTGGGAAGGGTCAAGGGTCATTACCAAACTAACTGGAGTTCATTGTTCTATGGAGAAAAACAGATTATTCACAAGAGGAAAACATTTACGCCAATCTTCCCTGGAGTGGATGTCCAGGAAATTTACCCTGAAGGTCAGACCATACAATGAACAGAGAAATGACAAATAAATAAATAAACAAACATACAGGAAATAAAGTATGTTCTGTAAGGTTTCTAATGACAAGATGTCAAAGATGATGTAATGATGTTCAGTATACAGTAGTCCCTCGTTTATCACGGGGGATTCGTACCCTGAAGCCCCACGATAAGTGAAAAACTGCGAAGTAGAAATAGTAGTACAAGTAGTAAGTAGTAGTTTATATATATATATACACATATACACATACATACAAATAATAAGGTGTTTTAAACCCTTCTCACATTCTTGCAGTATTCTAAACAATGTTTCTAAACTCTAAACATTCTAAGAGCACAGCATGTCATGAACTCAGCTCTCTACCACCTGCCAGCACTTTTGACCACGCCCACTTCTCTGACGCAGAGCGGAGATATGACACGCTGCATGTGGAAGCTTCTCCTGCAGTATGGGCTGCACAAACGTGCAGCAGGTGCTTAATAATTTAAAATATTTTAAATAAAAATTCCATGCCGATCGTGCGGCTCATCCATCAATCAGCCAATTGAGTGTCATGTCCAATCTTATTTTGAAAAACCGCGATAGAGCGAGTCTTACGAAAAGAAAAAAAAAATCGCAATTAGAATATTTTCCTAAATCATTCAGCCGTAGTTTGGACAAAGCTCAAAAATCTTCGGCCATTGTATCGGTTATCGGCGGTCGACTTCCCCTCCCAACATCGGTATCGGCGATAGCCAAATTTTCCTTATGGGTCGGGCTCTAGTAATTGTGTACCGTAAGTAAGGAGCTACGTAGGTAAGTAGGTGAGTAATTAAAGGTCGACTGATATCCTAAATGGAAGTCACATAATCAAATATTTGGGATTTGTAAAAGTTACATAAGAAGTCAAAAGCCTAAAATACACACCTTTCATCTACAGTACAGCTGTCATATGAGATTTATTTAGCAGAATTAGGGCTTCAGATGAGGTCAACTCAGTTAACGTCTCGGTTTCCTCTGGGAGCCTCACTTCCTCCTTGTAATGAACGTTCGGCGAACTGAGAGCACTTTCACCACCGAAAAACAGCTTTTCATGTGACAGGAGAACGCCCACATGGCTTTCACAAGTCTGCTTAAAGCGTTACAGTTTTTTATATAGCTGATAATAAATAAGTATAAATACTATGTACAGTTTAAAGACATTATTAACAATCTCCAAGGTAGAATATAAAAGCTACTTTTGGACTGTTTAAAGTAATCCTGTAGCTGAGACAGCAACAGGCAACACTGATCTGAATCATTTTCCTGTCTTTATTTTTCCGTATGTTTTTTGGACCTACGTCCGCAGACTTTGGGCTATTTTAGTCGATCGTATATCGACCGAACGTGGTTCCTTCCTCTACAAAAGAGCTCTTAGTGGTGGGACGAAGGCCAGCAGAACGAGTTCTCAGCAGCTGCTTGGATTTGCTGCAACACTGGAGTCTGTCCAGGTTCTCCTCCACGGTTCAGAGCGTCCGTGGGAGGTGACGATCTTAGCGCCACTACTCATTAGACTGCACAGATTAGGACTGAGTGGGCAGAGCAAGAAGGGTTTTCTCTTATCAATGAGCTATAAGTCAATCGGTGCTGACAACAGCTGCGTCATAAACTCAATCAACTCTCTGAAACAGGGGTGCCCAACACATCGATCGCGATCTACCAGTCGATTGAAAAGGCATTATGGGTAGATCACATGGCATAAAATAATAAATAGATGTCAGTCTATATCCATCCACACTATGAAATTTGTTTCTTGATTGCTTGATTGACACACAGGGCAGCCAATCACAGCCCTCATTCTCTTAAACCAGGTTTCAGAGTGGAGGTTTTCAGGAAAAATATTTACATTTTTCCATATTTATCTACACCAGAAATGTAAATCTGTATGTCATCAGCATAGCAGTGAAAATGGAGGCCATGACGACGGATGAGATTACC